TGTATGGGAAGGTGTGGAAAACGTTCTGCTCCTGGAAAGGGAGAAATAACAGGGATACAACCATACCGTCGGTTCTGGATTTCCTTCAGGAGGGGGCGGACAGGGGCCTAGCCATCAGCACTTTGAAGGTACAAGTCTCGGCCTTGAGTGTATATTTGCAATGCTCCCTGTCTAATGATCAACTAGTGAGTAGGTTCTTTAAAGCCCTTAAACGTATTAGGCCAGTGACACGCTGTGCAGTGCCTAAATGGGATCTTTCAGTGGTCTTACAGGGGCTGATGGTTCCCCCTTTTGAGCCTCTACCGGATCTTCAGATCAAGATGCTCACGTTGAAAACCGTGTTCTTAGTTGCTATAACCACAGCAAGAAGGGTTAGTGAATTTGCAGGCTCGATCTTTAAGGGAACCTTACTTAACGGTTTTTGAAGACAGGGTGGTGTTGAGGACAGACCCGGCATTTTTACCAAAAGTCTCTTCGGACTTCCATAAATCTCAGGAGATCGTGTTACCTTCTTTCTGCAGTAGTCCGGCTAATCAGAAAGAGGCGAGTTTTCACCACCTGGATGTTAGGCGCTGCCTGATAGAGTACCTTAGAGTGACTAGAACATTCAGGAAATCGGATGCCATTTTTGTTCTTTTTTCCGGAAAGGATAAAGGAAAACAGGCCTCCAAGGCTTCGATAGCTAGGTGGGTAAAGCTATGTATTCAGGAGGCTTATGGGGCTAAGCAGGTTAGTGTTCCGCCTTTTTTGAATGCACACTCTACCAGGGGGTTAGCTACCTCGTGGGCAGAGAGGGCTGGTGCCACTCCGGAGCAGATCTGTAAGGCCGCAACCTGGTCCAGTTTTTCAACGTTTGTCCGCCATTACCGGCTGGATTTGAATACGGCAGCAGAGCAGACGTTTGGAAGAAAAGTACTCCAAGCCGTAGTCCCTCCCTAAGTGGGACTGGTGGTGAAATGTGATTTCAATATGATATTCTGTTGTTGTTTTGGTTCCTGTGTTTACAGAGTCTTCCTACGGTTCTCGATACAACTGAGGAGCTAGGAGAGAAGTGGGCCTTTTGAACAACTGAGGGTGACGTGTTTCCTAATAAAAGAGGTGGAGCCTATCTCTCGCAAGCTGTTCTGGAGGACTATAGGAAAGAGAGTTACCGGTAAGTCTAACTCTGAATTTCTGGTGCCCCTCAGTAGACAAGAAAGAACAATTTATATTTTTTTTTTAAATTGAGATAATGCATTTGCATTTAGTATTCTTCATATTTGTGTTTTTCCCTTTTATTTGGACATTTGATGCTTTGTGTAGCCACACTTTATATTATTGTACTTTTCTTCGCTGTCTGTGCTGTCTTTCTGTAAAAACAAATGTGACACTTTAAGGCTAAGTTAGTCACATCACAGGGGGCAAGGATTCTTGCACAATAACTGCCAGCATTTATAAAATTAGAGTCCCTGTGTAATCCCAGGGGTAATCAGAAAGTCTTTTCAGAGGGGGGCAGGGAGCATAGGACCACTTTACCATATGCTGAGTGAATTGCACATATATGTTGTCTAATGTCATCAGAATACACAACCCTCAGTATTGCAAAACAAAAGGGTATACCGTATATTTGCTTCCTGCATCACCATAGGCATGTCTGGTTTATGCTTACATTTGTATTTTCTATGTAAGACATTTATTAACTCATTGTCCGTGATTGAAAAATAAAGCACAATGATGCCTCTGGTGTTCACTTTCAAAAATGCTTGTCATGTTTATGTCTCACATCTCTGTTTTTATATACCACTGTGTGCATGTTACTACCAGCATAGAGAAGACAGTGATAAACTCCATCATCATCAGTCTGCAATCTACTGATAGACAGGACGGCTGATCCCCCTGATATGGATCCTGAGAACCGATCTGATATTCCAGAGGGTCTGACATTCTGATTGGTGCTACTGCTACTATACATTATCAGTTTAGGGGCACTTCCAGGTGTCTGTAGGTACCAGGAAGGATAGTTACCCCCAGCTACCGATCCTCCACTCCGACTACAGGACAGACGGACACTTTCACCAGGAGTCCCAGACATTGCAGCATCCTGACTGACAGTAAACTGAGCCACAGAACCTGAAATATAAGCACAATGTTACAGAAAGAGAAGTTGAAGAATGTATGCGTATAAAAAATGCGTTTTCACATATTTTTACCTTACCAGAACAGCAGAAAAATAGTGCGAGGAAGAGAATGATCAGAGACATTGTGGAGTGTATTCTTTGTTTAAGTGGGGTAGAAATAGATTAGGAGTTATAAAGCATCCACAGAAAGCAGGATGTGCCTCTATGCAAATTATATTCCCTTTAAAAAAATGTTCATACACTTCTTATCTACAGCTGTTTTCTATAAATAGTGTGAGAATTAGCTTGAAACAGTAGTGCTTAGGACACATCCACTCACTGAGATCTTTTAAAGGGCTTCTTTGTCCCCTTTTATTAGAAGAAAGTTCACCACTAACAACACAGTTGCCCTTGCATCTCTTGACAAAAATAAACATAACCCATCCAGCATCTTGGCTTAGCTCTTGCAGCACTGCTGCTCCAGCCTCAGTCCTCAGGCTATTGTCTGTTTCCCCCAGGCAGCCTCAATACCATGCTAACCTGCACAATTGGTTCACAATCCGCAGCACCCTGCTGCACTGGACTCCACTCTGACTCCTGGGTGGAGTCCTCCCGACACCCTGGGGGAGCCCTGAACACTTGCAAGCACCTTTTCCTTAAAGGAGAATTATGAGGCAAGTGATTTTCACTCAGCCTCATAATCTGAGCCGGCCTGTGACAATTAAACTGTCGCAGGTCGGCTCAGTAGATCGGGAAGTGAGCGAACACATACCGACGCTCGCTCACTTCTCGATCTATCTGTGCAGAGAGCCGTGACTGTCACTCACGGCTCCCTGCAGGGATTCCCCCCTCCCCTGTCCGATCCTACATCGCTGACTGGCGGAACGGACGGGGGAGGGGGCGGGTACAGCTGGCTCTGCCTCTAGATAGGCAGAGCCAGCTGTCACTCACGCAGCTGGGTGGATCCAGACAGAATTGTCGGATCCACAAACTAGCGTCCTCCCATCACCCTAAGCTCAGTATACCGCGAGCTACAGCTTGCGGTATATTGAGATCCCGACAATTCTGCCTGGATCCGCCCAGCTGGGTGAGTGACAGCTGGCTCTGCCTATCTAGAGGCAGAGCTTGCTGTACCAGCCCCCTCCCCCGTCCGTTCCGCCAGTCAGCGCAAGCATACCGCCAGAAAAGTGTTGCAAATGGTTTATTGAATTGCTCCCAGACTGCCTTAGACTGGTGTTAAAGTTTTGTGAATAAACCAGATTAGAGTATGTAGATACCTAACATGCCAAGCTTAAAAATTGCGTGTGTCTGTGAAACGGCGAAAAAATACAGGACCCCAAATTGTCTATAGGCGATGCTTTAAAAGCCTGTACAGGTCATCAGTTTAGAGTTAACCATAAATATTGGCCCTAGAATGATTGCTTTCACTTTGCTGCAAATGGCAATACCTAACATGTATGACACAATTGTTGTTTTCCTATGTAGGTGCAACTGACACTGTTTATGTTAGTATGTGCGTGTGCGTGAGAATGGGGGACTGTAAAAACAAATTTTGGAGTGTTTCTAATTTCATTTAATTTTACTTTATTTTTTAAAACTTTATTTTTTACTTAACTTCATTGCTATCACATGGGGGGCTCACAAACCCCCTATGTGATAGCATATTAGTTCTGACAGGTACTCTTTAAAGTGACATTAGGGTTCTATTAGACCCCTAATGTCACCTTTGCAGCCCATTGAAGGTGATCAAGCTCAGATCATGCTTGATCAGCTTCTTCCTTGGCTTCTCTAGCCAGGGAATGACAGCTGAGAAACCGGAAGTGATTAAATCATCATCGCTTGCGGTTTCATTCAGCAGGGAGATCAGTGAACAGGTCATTCTCCCATCTACCCGCCAACACCCACAATGCCAATTCTGGGCCCGAAGGAGGAATAACAGAGCCAGGGAAGCAAGGCAGGGGATGTTGGGCAGGAGGCCAGAGTTTACTGACCCTGGAAGCGATCAGGTGGCTCTACAGCCTCCCAAATTGCTTCCAGTGCAAAACCAACAGTCAGCTATACACAGGTAAACAGTACCCAAAACTGTCTGTAGGAGATGTTAAAACCCTTTTGCAGGTTATCAATTTGGAGTTAACAGTGAATGATAGCTCTAGAATTAGGACCCAACATGTGTGACGCAATAATTGTTTTTGTACATAGGTACATCTGACATGCGCGTTTATGTTTGTATGTGCTTGTATGTGGGGGCAGGGGACTTTAACATTTTGAGTTTTTTTAATTGGTTATATATGCTTAACTTTCATTTTTTTTTTTTTGTTACTTAATTGTATTGCTATTACATAGGTACTGTAATTAACAAGCCCCCTCTGTAATTGCAGAAACAATCAGTTCCCCACGCAGACACCTACCATGGATGTTCTGGTTACCCAGGAGGGACAGTGGAGCCTGATGTACATGGGGAAGGGGGGTCCTGGTACCTTCCATAGGCTGTAGAAGTGATCTGGCAGCTTCATAGTAACTCAAATAATTTCTAGTAAAAAGCAGACAGCCCAGAGAAGGAATCTACGTGTCCCTGCTGCCTCCAACGTAAGCCTTATGTCAGTGGCAGTGAAAGGGTTAATGTTTGCATAATGTATTGTCCTTAGTGGAACTACATGGTCATCGTGTAATTTCCTGTCTTTGTTGTTTTCCTATAAGAAGGGGACAGCCATGTGACCATCTTGACTGGTCAGCAGCTTTCCAACAATACTGAACGGTCCCCATAGGCATATCTGATTGTGTAGGCTCACACTTTAATTCAAATGTATTGTTTAAGTTCAGTAATGTCACTGTTTTATTAACTATAAATATAAAGTTCTCTGATCCCCCTGGTGTTCAATTTAACCATTGCATGTCATGTTTATGTCACATGATACTATCTCTAAACATCACTGTGTACTGACTAGAACCAGAGAGCACACCATAGAGAAGACAGTGATAAACTCCGTCATCATCAGCCTGCAATCTACTGATAGACAGAACGGCTGATCCCCCTGATATGGATCCTGAGAACCGATCTGATATTCCAGAGGGTCTGACATTCTGGTTGCCAGTACCACTACTATGCATTATCAGTTTAGGGGCACTTCCAGGTGTCTGTAGGTACCAGGCGGGATAGTTATCCCCAGTTACTGATCCTCCACTCTGACTACAGGAAAGACGGACACTTTCACCAGGAGTCCCAGACATTGCAGCATCCTGACTGACAGTAAACTGAGCCACAGAACCTGAAATAAGAAGAGGACAATGTTATAGAAAGAGAAGCTGAAGAATGCCCTTGTGTAATAAAGCTTTGCAGATACTTTTATCTTACCAGAACAACAGAAAATCAGTGTGAGGATGAGGATGATCAGAGACATGGTGGAGGGTTTTCTGTGTGTAAGTGAAGTAGAATTGGATCCCAGGTTATAAAGCATTCACAGAGAACAGGATGTACCTTCATATGCAAATGATTGTCTATTCCCTGCTAACATATTGTTATGCAGTTCGTTACATATTGTTTTCTTCTATGTATAGATATACAGTAGATATAATATTATATTATGTATCATGATTTGATTATCTCTATACTATTTCTAATGTAACTCTTTTGGCTTAATTCCCAAAGCTTTTTTACATCAGGATAGGCATGTTAGCCATGTAATTATAATTTTGATTTAGATATTGGTTAGCCATCTGAAGACTGGGGTAGTAAATCCCCTTGCTGGCCAGGCCATTTTTCAGTAGTCAGCACAGAGGTACTTTGACTGACATGTATTCAGTCATGCAAAGCCATACTGAAAGTAATCTATATCATTTTTTTGGGGGGGGGGGGGCAGATGGAGCTTTCTTTTGGTGCTATTTAATCAACACTGGGTTTTTTACTACATAAAGAAACAAATTACTGAAAATTTTGAAAAACTCCCCTATATTATAATATGAAACATTGCAAATAAATAATGTTCTTCATACATTTAGGCCAAAATGTATTCTGCTACATTTCTTTGTAAAAAACAAATATGTTTATATTAATTAGCATGCTTAAGGCCCCATTCACACACGAATCGGCCTGCACGTACAGCTCCGTGCTGCGTGCGGGGCAGTGCCAAGCAGCTGCCGGGAAGGACAGGTGGTGCATGTGATTAGTACGCAGCCCCCGTCCTTCTCTATGGGGCTATGCGGCGTACGCCCCCCTACGCTCACCTCAACTGCAGGACCGTAGGGGTGTGGGTTTTCTGGTCAGGACGCATGCAGGATCCATTCGGGCGGCGTATGAATGCGCTCACCGGCACCCCTACGGACATGCAGGGCGGGCCAGCGTAGGGGCATGTACGGCTGCATAGTCCCATAGAGAAGGACAGGGGCTACGTACTAATCACACGCAGCACCTGTCTTTCCCGGCAGCTGCTTGGTACGGCCCCGCACGCAGCACGGAGCTGTACGTGCAGGCCGATTCGTGTGTGAATGGGGCCTTAAAGTTATACAGTCTACAAACTATGGTATATATATTTAAAATGTATCAACCCTGGTGTCCTGACTGCCCATTTCTTGAGGTCCTAAAATTCCGGGTCAGTAGAAACACCAACACAATGACCCCATTTTGCAAAGCAGAAGCCCCAAGGTATTTCATAAGATGCACGATGATTTAAAGATTTCATTTTTTGGCATATGTTTTCACAAAATGAAGGAAAAAAATATGTTTTTCTTTTACACAAACTTGTCAATTAAAAGGGTATTTCTAACCCACAGCATGGGCATACTTAGAATTATACTCTAAAACACATTCTGCTACACCTCCTGAGTATATCACATATGTGAGACTTTTTTGCCGCCTAGCTGCATAGAGCGGCACAAAGTCCAAGGAGCACCTTTAGGTTTCTCAATAAGCATAAATTGCTCATTTGTTTTCCTGACAACCTATGGCATTCTTGGAGGCCCTGGAGGCCCAAAATCCAAGGAGCACCTTGAGGATTTAAACAGGCATACATTTGTTTTCCTATCACATTTGTGGAGGCCCTGAAGTGCCAGGACAAAAGAAACATCAACAAAATGACCCTATTTTGGAAAGCAGACGCCCAGGGTATTTGATAAGATGCATGGTGAGTATTTTTTTTGAAAATAAAGGAAAAAAATGAAACATTTTCTTTTTTACACAACGATGTCAGTTAATTATATATTTCTAACACAGTATGGGCATACTTATAATTACATCCCAAAACACATTCTGCTGATCTTCTCGAGTATATGGATATCACATGTGTGACATTTTGTTGCCACCTAGCTTCACAGAGCTCAGCGAAGCTGGCCCCTCTACAATCGACACAAATAAAAACTCCAGTGTGTTTCTTTAGTGCCACGTTTGTGCTGTTATGTCCTGCAAAAACTAACATTTGAGCTGCTTTCATTTTTAAGATAATAGCAATTTTTTTTTAAAGATGATGACATCACCAGCCCCCTACAATAGCCAAAACATATGAAACTTGCTGGTTAGTTAGTGCTGCGTTTGTGCTGATTTTTGCCATTTAAATCTCCATTCTATCTCCTTTCGTTTTTAAATTTTCAGGTGGAAGGCATAAATGTGGTCAATAATCAGGAGTCCGTACACAGGAGAACAGGCAAATATCTCAGCTACTCAAGCATAGGAGAAACATCTCCCACACTCATATCACAGTGAAGTATGGTAGCAACGTAAGCAGTCTTTAATGTAAAGGCCAGGTTCTGAGGGCCAATAGGGACAATAGTAACCTGTGTCATGCCTTATTCAATCTTTCCTACACACCCGGCATTTTTGGGTGCACAGTCTACTTGGGTAGAAGGAACAATATTGGGGAAATTTCTCTGTATTGGACTGAAGCCTTTCCGTGTGATAAATCAGGGCTGTTATAATTTCCTCTTAATATTTTAGGTAGGAGCCAGCTCTATCTGTAGACTTATAAATTACATACATAAATGTACACAGCCAATTGGAAAAGGTAGATTGAAACATTTTTGTGCCAGTGAACTGATTTCTGGTTGCCAGGTAGTGCTGCATCATCTCGTCATTGAAATCTACACCACCCATGTGCAGATTGTATTCATGGACACAGAGAGGTATTTGGGACAGACCAGATCTTACTGTAATAGCCTATTTATTCTGATTCCAATGAATCAACAACTGCAGGGGTTAACGTCCCCAGAGGCTCTGGAAATCCTTGGGGCTGGCCTCTTAGGTAATGTGTGCAATGTTGAAAAAGTAGAGTCCAGAATAAAAATAGAAAGTACTACTTCATACAACCTTGAGGTTACTACTGGACAGTTCAATCAACTAAATAGTCCAATATATAGGTTTATCAATAAGTTCAAGTCACACTCCACACCAGCTGTGAGATAATATGAAGTAATCAATCCATCATATAGACATGGACTATGCTGAGTGGCTCAATAGGAATTAAGACAATGATCATGCATGTTATCACAGGTAAGCTAATAGTGATCACTGAATAGATCAGTTTAGAGGAAATGAGCCTGGTGATACTTCAGCAACTTGCATACCGTAAATCCTGGATGGTAAGTGGCGGTTAAAGGATCTGCTATCTGGATCAAGGAAGCAGTTTCTGTGTCAGCAGGCTTCAGCATTAGTGTGAAGAGCCAGAGTAAAGAGGATCAATCTTTGCTGTCTGCTGCGGTGACAGTGCACTGTAGTACATGCAGGGCAATATTCAGGATGGAGAGAAATAGGAGATGGGGACTGGTGTGGAGAGGGTATAGTGAGTTCTTGGTTGAAGCGATCAGGATGGAGAGTGATATAATTGGTAACAGCCGTGCTCGGCGTCCAGGAGAATACTAAAGAGGTTATTCACTAAAGAGCCGAAGGATCCAGCCGTAGCTTTAGCTCGCTTCGGCCATCTCTGCCCTTCGGTTCAGTCGAACTATTCACAATAGCCCGTACTGCAGCCATAGGCAGCTGCTTCGGCTTGACTGAGCCAAAGTGAAAGCCGAAGCGTGGAGAAAGGTCGGCCGAAGGACCGGCCATTCTCCACGCAAATGACAGCTGGGCGGAGCCAGCCGTGATCTCTCGGATCGCTTCGCCCAGTTGTAATGACAACTGGGACAATGTCGTGGACGACGCTGGATGTGGGGATTGATGCTGGATTAGGTCGATGGATCAATTTTTTATTTTTAAATAAAGGACTTGTCAAAAATCCTTTGTTGTGTTTTTTTTTGTCAAATAAAGGATTTTTGATTAAAGTCTGGTCTGAATAAGCCCTCTGCCTGCACCCCCACAACCAACGCCCCAGGGCTTGTGGGGAAGAGGCCCTTGTCCCCATAAGCACAGGGACAAGGTGCTTTTCCAGGGGCGCTCCTGGAAAGCACCCTCCCAGTGCCTAGGGCATGTGGCCTGGTATATGGGACGCTCGCTTGTGCTCGGATCAAGGGTCTGATATGGAATTTTGGGGGGGACCGCACATCTTTTTTCCCGCATTTTCACCACTCCTTAAAATTCCTACCAGACCTTAAGGGCCTGGTATGACTTTTTGGGGGAACCCCACACAATTTTTTTTAACTTGGGGTCCCTCCTAAAATTCCTACCACACCTAAAGGTCCTGGTATGACTTTTGGGGGAACCCCACACTTTTTTCTTTTTTTGTAAATGGGGAATTCGGACGAATTTTCGGAAATTCGGACATTCGGATGTATCCGAATTACAGACATAACGAATGCAAACGAATCCGAATTTCCATTTCCGAAATTCGGTAGCGTTAGTACGAACGTTCGTTTCGTTTTCTGTTCTTATTCGTTTCTTATTCGTTTCGTTCGTTGGAGCAAAGTGACATTAGAGAAGGAGAAACATATTTTTTCCCCCTCAAATGTCACTTTTGCTGCAAACGAACGAACAAGAAACGAATAAGAACAGAAAACGAAACGAACGTTCGTACTAGCGCTACCGAATTTCGTCCGAATCCGAATTGACTTTCACACCCGAATCCTGAAAAACGAAATAACACAAATCCGAATTTAAAACGAAACGAAACTAAACAAATTTTTTGGCAGTGCACATGTCTAATCTAGATGCCAATCATGTATTACAATTGGACTTTTGGTCCTTTTTCTGTTTCTCTTTTCCTATGCTTTCTTATTCTATCCTGTTCTTTCTTCCAATCCCCTCCTGGCTTACTCATCCTTTTCCCTTTTCTCTTGTTCACGTCCTCCCCCCTTTTCTTCTATTCATGCTGCTATTTTAGCAGTTTTTGCTGCAGTAATATGTTTGATTGGGACTGTTTTTGCCAGCAAAGCTTTTCAACACATTGGGGTCTATTCACAAAGCTGCCGAAGGATCTGGCCGTAGCTTCGGCCGATCCTTCGGCAACTGCAGATATTGGCTATGATTTTTCCCCTTTTCT